GGCGAGAGAGCAGGTCAGAGCTCGTGGGAAACCGGAGCCAGCCAAGGGCGACGGTGCACAGGGAAGGAGCAGGCGGGGACAGTCCCGGCTAGGGCACGAGGAGCTCCTGAGTATGGAGCTTATGGCAAACAGGCAAAGATACTCCTGGGAACTGTAGAAATAGGAGAGAGGGAAAGGGAGAATGCTCCCAGTTCCCATCTGGGCAGAGAAATGATGGAGGAGTGTCCCCTGCACTGCAGTGGTCAGACACCAGACGAGTGTCCCCTGCACTGTAGCCGTTGGAGGTGGATGAGCCTCCCCTGCACGGCAGCAGTTGGATGCTGGACGAGCATCCCCTGCGCTGCAGAGGTCAGAGGTGGATGCCCGTCCCTTGCGCCTGGAGGCCAGGTAAGCATCCCCTGCACAGCAGCAGTTGGATGTCAGATGAATATCCCCTGCACTGCAATGGCTGGATGTTGGACGAGTGTCCCCTACACTGCAGTAGTTGGATGCTGGATGAGTGTCCCCTACACTGCAGTGGCCAGACACCAGCCGACGAGCATCCCCTGCGTGGCAGCGGTCAGATGTCACATGAGCATCCCTTGCATGGCAGTGGTTGGATGCAGGATGAGCGTCCCCTACACTCCAGCAGTTGGACACTGGACGAGTATCCCCTATGCTGCAGCGGTCGGACGCAGGATGAGCGTCCCCTGCACTGAAGTGGTCGAAGGCCGGGTGAGCGTCCCCTGCCATGCAGTGGGGGCTCCCCTGTGCTTTCTTGGGCTGCTTCTCCTGCTTTCTCCAGCCCCGCTTGGCCTCCTCGCCGGCCGTGGCTGCTCGTTTTGCTCCTAGCGCTGGTGGTGGCTCCTGCGCTCCGGGACAAGCTTGGTGCATTGATACAGCTGGGCAACATTGATTTGCTAATTAAATGACCACTAGCAATTAAAGGGACTTGCTGAGCTCTCTTTTTCTCTTGCAGACATGTATTAGCAGAAGGTCCAAAGTGAGGGGTGGGAAAGCTGGAGTGGCTGAAAGTGGCTCGTACATTGGCGGCAATCGCTACCCGCAAGAAGCAGGACTCAAAGCTGTAACATTGCTGGGCCAGGCCATGCACAGCCCTCCAGAGATGGTGTCCTATGCAAACATGAGAGGTTTTTAGCAGTGACATTACTTATTTATTATTGCCCATCTTCCTCTGGAGCTAGAGCAGAGGTAACTCGATCAGCCCTTCTCAGCGATAGCGAGTCGGTCATTGCCTGTGTCACGTTGAAGTGATTTTCCGGGATGTGATGAGGTCATTACTACAGGAATCGGGGCTGCTTCTGGATGCACAAGCTCTTTCTTCAGGTCAGAAACTTCCAGCATCCAAAACACATCCATTTCTTCTAAATGTATCAGTTCATCGAACCAAAGACACAGCCTGTCCCTGCAAACCTTGCTCTGCTGATGCTCCCATGCCTTCACAGCTAGAATGACGCCATTGCTCAGAGTAAGGACAGAAAAAGAAGTGATTTAAATCAAAATAAAAAAGAGAAGGTTTTCAGGAGCAGGAGAAGCAGGTATCTCCATCCAGGAGAAGACAAGGGTGACCTGGGCCTGGCCCAGGTAAGGGAGGACATGCACGTGCTGGTGATAAGTGATAAGGACGTTATCGGAAGGCTGATCATAAAAACAACCCTGGGCAGTGCAATTGCGGGTCGATTCAGTTCAACCTGGCTACTGTGTACATACCTACGAGAAACTGCAGCATCGGGTAGGAAAAAGCAAGACTTCTTCATAAAGACCAAGGTACCATCAGATAGTCAGAAGATCCCAGACATCTGGGATGTCAAGAACTCCTCCGTACAGAAGGTTTTCAGTGCAAATTTTCTCAGTTCCACAGACTCTACCCTGTGCTTCGGGGCTGATAGAGAGGATAAAAGGGGGTTTGCCTGATCCACGCACCTTCCTTGCTCTCCCGTCAGGGGAAATGGGCCCATCACATCTCTTTTCTGCAGATGGACGTGGCTGGGCAGTCAGTTGCTCAGCAGAGCATGCATACAAGCTATTAACGCCGAGCATGAAGGATTAAAAATAATCAGGTTTGCATTAAGGTTGCTGGTTTGTAAAGGATAGGCTTTGGTATGCGGCTCACCCGGGCAAAAACCCGGCACACTAACCCACTGCGCTGCTTAGCCCTCTGCAAATGCTATTAGCCCCGTGCAGCAGTTGATTAAAGCCTAGATTAAGTGCTTAGTCACGGGAGCCTCTAAAATGCGTTTTAGCACAAACGATGAGGATGCCGAGAGGTGGCGAGCCCAAATTCCCTGGCGCTGGATAAATAAATAATAATAATAAAAAAAGAGGCGCTGCCAAGTCAGGATGTGAAAATTGCCTGCCGAGAGGTTCGGGTTCATCTCGTATGTCCCTGTTTGCTGCAGAAACCAGGAGGGCAGAAAAACAGCTCATCCTGGGGGCCCAGCCAGCTCTCTGCCATTTCGCAGTTGCAGTTGTGCTACCTGGGGGAAACCCTGGCTTTCACAGCGGCATAGAGAACAGGGCCTTTCCCTGAAAAGCACGAGCCAAGTGCGCACGCACCCACATGCTGTGCCTCGGACCCTTAGATTAGGTCTAGTTAGGTCTGGGACTCAGTCTAACCTCCCTGCAACAGCATAATCAGCTTTCATAATTCTTCTCAACCCTTAAATGCGCTGGAGCAAGTTGTCATCTCAAATACGTACCATCTCAACACATCAAATCCCTGTAAGCGCTATCTAAGCCGTATCACTATAATCTTTTTATACGATTGCCCTGCTTTGGAGTTGCACTGGCTGCCCGTCATCTTCGTTATGCAACGCGATGTCTCCGAGCTAGCTACCCAAAGTCTTCTCACGAGGAAGTACTGGAACCTGGATAACCACTTTTTGACTTTGGGGGCATTTGCGAGAGACCCTGTGAAGAAGATTCAAACCTTCCAGGCTGCGGTTATTCCTGGCAAAGCTGTTTCTGAATTAAACATCTTCTATGAGGGTGTTTCATCCGTGAATGATAGTCTTTTCTTCAGGGAAATTACCACCAAGGAACGTTGATATCCAAGGGACTGACAGTTCTCCTGTCTAGACAGCTGTGATGAAGGGCAAATCCTGTTCCGAGCTGCGAGCGCTGACAGTCCCGGGTGTGCGCACGGCTGCCACCGTCCAGTGTGAAACCATTTAAGGAGACTCAAGCTTTCACGTACAAAAACTTCGGCCTGCTTACACTGATGGTGGAAAAATCACCATTCGAAATATTTTAAAACGTTCATTAAGTACATAGGAGAGGAAACAAAAGGAGAGAGGCAAAAATCGAAGCAATCGAAACATGAAGTTTCATTTTAACAACATGCCTTATTGCCTTTCCAGTTACTTGCAGAAGCAATCTGCAGGGCGTCCTTTAGGGATGATACAAGACGATTTCCATCTATTTCCTTCTTCTTGCTTTTATCTTCTGCCGACTTTTATCAGCAGTGTGGTGTAACAGGCCAGTCAAAAGGTTCATCTCTTCCCACCAGGTCAGTCCTTCGGGCTGGAGAAGGATTTGTTCGGTTTGGAGCCAAGAAATTGGTCCCTGCAAGTCTTCCTCTGTAGAGGAAAGGGTGTTAAACCGAGATTTCCAAGCTTCGCATGACAGATTGTTCCTGTCTATAACTTACATTTCCCAACAAATCCTTCCTTTCCACTGCTGGAACCCTGATTTACCGCAGGCTGCGGAGCAGCCGTCCCTTCCCGCTGCCGTGCCGGGACGAGCGGCCTGCGGAGCGGCC